GGCTGGACGACTGCAATCCATTATTATCAGGATGTCCTAAAAGCTCTCTGAAAGCCTTCAGTTAATCCAAAATGCTACAGCAAGAGTACTGACAGGGACTAGAAAGAGAGAGCCTATTTCTCCTATACCAGCGTCCCTTAATTGGCTCCCTGTTAAATCCAGAATTGAATTCAAAATCCTCACTTACAAGGTCTTCAATAATCTGGTCCAATCTTATCCTAATGACCTGATAGTACCATATCACCCCATTAGAGCACTTCGCTCTCACACCGCAGGCTTACTTGTTGTTCCTGGAGTATATAAAAGTAGAATGGGAGGCAGAGCCTTCAGTTTTCAGGCCCCACTTCTATGGAAGCAGCTTCCAGTTTGGATTCAGGAGACAGACACTATTTCTACTTTTAAGATTAGGCTTAAAACTTTCCTTTTTGCTAAACCATATAGTTAGGGCTGGATCAGGTGACCCTGAATCCTCCCTTAGTTATGCTGCAATAGGTATAGGCTGCGGGGGGATTCCCATGATGCACTGAGTATTTCTTCTTCACTCACTATGAGTTAACAGACCTCTCTGCATTGAATCATACTTGCTTACTTAATCTCTGGCTCTCTTCCACAGCATGTCTTTTGTCCTGTCTTCCTTGTCTCTCCCTAACCGGTCGTGGCAGATTGCCGCCCCTCCCTGAGCCTGGTTCTGCTGGAGGTTCTTCCTGTTAAAAAGGAGTTTTTCCCCCCCACTGTCGCCAAGTGCTTGCTTATAGGGGATCATATGGTTGTTGGGTTTTTATCTGTATGTATTACTGTAGGGTCTACCTTACAATATAAAGCACCTTGAGGCAACTGTTGTTGTGATTTGGTGTTGTATAAATAAAACTGAATTGAATTGATCTTAACCATTTCTGCACATTTCATCAGGACACCTTGTTAAGTCATGTATCCACTTTGCTCAAATGCTGGAGCTGCCACATTCATTCTATTTATTACCACTCTATGTCTGCATGCAGCACCAGTTCTCTGTCTCTGTCTCTCTCTCTCTCTCTCACACACACACACACACACGTGCAGGCAAACAGACGCACCAGCCCTCACAGACATTTGCACTCATGAAATACCCACATACGAAAAAGATGAACATTTGTTCATAAACCTACAGTATCTGTATGCAAACACATAGCCATGAATACTTGCATACTACCACCCACACTTTCACTCTCACAAACACAGATATCCCCCACTACCCCTTCAACCAGGTCTCTGCTGGCCTCCTTTCCCAGCCAGTTATGACAATGCTAATGATTCTCACTGGAGCACTGGATGATGGCTGACAGAGCCAACCAGACCAGGACTAGCTGATGATGGAGGGGGAATTGGAGGTTGTAATGTGTGTGTGTGTGTGTCTGTGTGTGTGTGTGTATAAAAAGTGGGGGTTAGAAGACGAGGTCAAGGATGGTGGTGCACACGCTCCTTCTCTGGTGATGTGTTGGGAAGGATGCACCTTTCCCCAGCTCAGTGCTAATTTATTACATTTAAGACAAGGCCTGACACCCTGAATCAGCCTCTGTTCAGACCATATTGGCTGGCCAGGGTGGTGGGAGGGTGTGTGTAGCTGAAGGGAGGAAGGGGGAGGTAAACACAAAGGAGGAGAAAGCACGGAGCGGAGAAAACAGAGAGTGACTACATGGAAATTATATGCAATGAAGAGACGTAGCCTCAGGCATGGTGCATGTTTTGCCTGTTTTCTTATAGTTAGTGTATTTATAATTCAAATATATGCCTTTAATAATTTACAGACAGGACATATCAAAAGAAAATGTGTGAGATATTTCTGAGCAATGTGCTGAAAATATTTCACTTTTTAAGCAAACACTTAATCACATGAATGTGATTAAAGGTGATTGCTAACTCAAAATGTGGATACGTTTCATGGTTTAATAATTAATATACTGATTTAGGGTTTATTATACATATTTCTATACATTTTATCAAGTGTGAGAGCAAAATATCTCACTAAGTCTATATCTTATCTCTGTTTGCTTGTGTGTTCTTTCTCTACAATCAACAACCATCCTTTCAATCCACTTTAAAGTTGATAGGGGCACAGTGAGGATCCTGAGTCAAATCTGGCATTATTTTTATAGTGTGGACTCATTTTTGGGGTTCTTTCGTGAAGGCAAATGGAAGGCAAATGGACTGGTTCTACACGGTGAATATATGATGTCAAGTAATGATGTCAAGGCTGTAAGCTCATGCTTGAATTCTAATCACAGTCCTGATGACAGAAAGAGTTAGCAATGAACTAAACCTTTGGGAGGTTTTAGAATAGAGCATACAAACAGTAGTTCCATGTAAAGGAAGGAATTCATGTCTGTCAACAGTGGCAAAAGCATGTATCCCTGATGGTGAGGTGTCTGTACAGAGGGCCATTGATCCTGAAAGACAGCACTCAGCGCAGCCACAACCTGTTCTTTATTCTGCTTTTTATTTGTGCCTTACCATGTCTGCTGGCTCTATCATTTCTAACTCATCTCTGTCTGACCCAGCAACATTTAATAACTCAGTCAAAGCATCTAACAGCATCACTTAGGTGTGCAGGTAGAGCACGTCATTTACTATTCAGAAGTTTGATGGTTTGATCCCTGTCTGCTCTGGTCTGTATGACAAATATAGTTAGCAAGATGCTAACCCCAACTATACTAAACCATGCTAACACCTCTGATGCATCAATCAGAGTGTGAAAGTTAGACAGAAAATACTTATGCATTAGCTAAAAAGTGGTTGTATGAATGAGTGAATGAGGCATGTTATATAAAGTGCTTTGTGTGGTCAGACTATAAAAGAAACACTATATTTACCGACTTGTGCAGGTACCACACAGGCAACCTTCAAACATATTGTGTCTGACACAGATGTCTGTAGGCAACTGCCATTTTCAGGGACTATGTGGTATAAAGAAATGTGATGGGAAACCAATGTGGACTAATCTCTGGAAAGTTGCTTGTATAGTAAAATCAAACATATAACAAAGGCAATTAATACTTTAATGCAAGGCAGTAATGTGTTCAGCACTTGAACTGTTGCAGTGTTGTTCAGTAAGACTCTTATTCTGTCAACTCAACAGATTGACCTTTGACTTCTGACTTGCACACCAAAAACGTAAAAAAGAGAATAGAAAATCAATATGAAATAAATACAAATAAGCTCATAGAAGCTGAAGCTGTGTGTGTGTGTGTGTGTGTGCGTGTGTACATATACTCAGTTTTGGGAAGGTTACTTTTAAAATGTAATCCATTACAGAATACAGAATACATGCCCCAAAATGTATTCTGTAACGTATTCCGTTATGTTACTCAATGAGAGTAACGTATTCTGAATACTTTGGATTACTTAATATATTATCATGCTGTTTACAACTACATGAATGTACTATTGCTGTGATTTATTACTGTTACTGAAGGTCCGCGGCTCCGAACCGTAGTAAAGGGACCTCTGGCTAATACGGTGGGTTCCGTGTCGGGCTCATAGCCGAAAAATAGCTTTACTTTGTTGTCTGGATCAACTTTGTTAGCGAGAGACAGAGAGAGGTGTTGAAAGGCTGCTCCAACGGAACTTATTGTTTCGGAGGAAAACACGAACACGGTGCACAGTCGAGTCTTAATAGCTTACTTACAGCTGGGCTCGTCAGGCACTCTTCTTGGCTGCAGTGGTTATTATTATATTTACATGCTTCCAGCTCCCGTTTTTGCTCGATGACAGCTCGTACTTTTCCTTTTTCTCCCTCCCTCGCTCACAGACACATAACGTGTATGGCAGTCCATTCTCCCTGCAGCACGGACTACACTGCCTATGATGCTACATTCTTTAGAGCTATACCTGTAGCATTCTGCTTATTAGCTTAGCACAACAACAACAAAAAGGCCTCTCTCACCCAGGAAACACGCAGAGAGAGAGCGTCACCGTGTAACCATGGCAACAACAGAACGTAGCTGTCAAACAAAACCCAAACAGTCCTGACCCGCCACAATATGAAACAGGGAAGTACCACCGTGTAATCAATTTATTTAAACAAAGTAACTGTATTCTAAATACAACCTTTTTAAACGGTAACTGTAACGGAATACAGTTACTCATATTTTGTATTTTAAATACGTAACGTACATGTATTCCGTTACTCCCCAACACTGCATATACTTGAAATTGTATTTCTTCTACCATACTATCTTTGGTTGTATGGTTCTTAAGTGTACTGCATATATTTATTTATTTATTTATTCTGCCTTGTCTACTTTGCTGCTACAACAATGTGAATTTCCCATCTCTGGGACTATGTCTCTCTCATCTCTCTCTTCTATTTTGACGGCTCTTCTGCGTCACTGATCGTTTCATCCGATACAAAACAAACCTTGAAGCTGGTGGCGTGTCACCGGCTCAGCTTCCTCTCGCTTAACGCTTTAGGTGCTTGGTCTTCAAAATAAAAGCATGGAGACTAAACTTTGTGGCGATATATGCTGCAACTGATTTCGACATTGAAAATTATCAAGTGCGGTCCATGTGTGTGGCCCTCAAATTATTTCCCATAGAACCGTCGTAGTGTACTTAGAACCAGCTATACACTTAGAACTACTTTCTAAGTGTATTTGTTTTGTTTGATATCGTGAGCAGCACTGAATTTATTTGACTCTGACACGTTAAATAAAAAACAAAAAGAAAATACAGTTCCGTGTAAAAGGAAGTTCCATCTTAGGGATATTGTAAAAAAAATGCAGTAGCTGGAGGTTTGGGGTATGAACTACTGTCCAGTGGCAGTAAGTAACATTCTTTTCATTTCTTGTTTAATTTGAAGACTTAACTGATGTAGAAGATGAATAAGAAGAATAAGATGATCTCTCTTAGTCCTTTCTCCTGCTCCTAAGGCGATGAATGAATGAATGTATTTCGTGGCGTTTTATTTCGAAATCAGTGACCCTATAAAAACGTTTAAAACCTCGCAGATTTCGCAGAAGGCTGGGGGCGGGTCCGTCAGCGCCGTGTTCTAAAGCGGAGTGGACCTGCGGACAGTGAGCGTGTTGGCGCGCAGAGGCGTGGGCACAGGGACGCAGTGAGACCAGAGATCGGCGCATTCCCGCGACAGGCACAGCAAAGCTGGGAACAGCATCACAGTCGCAGATCTGGCAAAGCGGCACCACGGGAACGTGTCAGTGTGCGCGAGGACGTGTGGCGTCTTACTCCCATTAACTCCGGACTCCATGCTACAAAAAAGGACACGGTTGCAGTTCCCTCGTGGATTCAAAAGTTTAAAACTTAACTAGTTATCCGCTCCAGGCTCCTGTGTACACGCGTGGTGACTGCGCACGGACATGGCGCAAAGGGTACGTCTAACGACCATTATTTCAATTGTTTGCACAATGACAGTCCACTTAATCACTAGTCACATTACATCCTTGAAAGAAACCTGAGGAACCTTTGAAAAACGTCATGAAGTTGCTATACTTATCAAAAAAATATCAAATATGTTTTTTTCATCATGAAATCATCAATGTCGACTTTGAAATTTTCCTCTTATGTTCGTGCACTGACGGAACTCTAACTTTCACTCCAGTATGATGAGCTGACTCATTACGGAGGCGCGATGGACGGAGTCCCCGGCTCCATGTACGGAGACCCGCACGCACCCCGGCCCCTACCGCAGCTCCACCACCTGAGTCACGGGGCTCCCCCACACCCGGCACAGCACTACGGAGCCCACGCTCCGCACAACATCATGGGCAGCTCCGTCAGCGACGCACTCAAGAGAGACAAGGACCAAATCTACGGGTGCGGACACAGCAACAAACATTATTATTATTATTATTATTATTATTATTATTATTATTATTATTATTATTATGTTTTATTAATGTGCAGATTTGTGTTATAGAAAAAATGCGTAAGTTATTATTGTTTGTGTGCGATCAGCCTCTGAACAGTTTCATCTAAATTTCGGAAATGAAATATATTCAGTCAATGTACGTGTTGCAGCTCGTGTTGAGCTCGTTTTTGGGTATCTACAGGTAGTTAGCGGCGGACGGATGAAATCCTCTCTGTGTATTAACATATTTGATATTTCAGTGGCATTAAGGAGGAAGACATAAATATGCGTGACAGGGCCGAGCGCTGGTTTGATGCTTCATGTGTAGGCCTCTGCGGCCTGTGCTCCTGTGTGTTGCAGCCACCCTTTATTCCCTCTGCTGGCTCTGGTGTTCGAAAAGTGCGAGCTGGCGACCTGCACGCCCCGAGAGCCCGGTGTGGCGGGAGGAGACGTCTGCTCCTCAGATTCCTTCAACGAAGACATCGCTGTGTTCGCAAAGCAGGTAGAACACACAAGCGAGAAACCAAGTGTCACCACTGCGCTCAGCACACGGCACTCTTCATGTCACCGTGATGGAGGGAACTCCTGAAAA